CAGATGCTGGAAACCAGGATCTCTGCTTCGAAAGATTTATAAAGCAGCCACCCTGGAAATCAAACCTCACACTTTTCAAATATCCAGTATTCCCTGGCTAGGAAAATTGAGGCTTTCATCTTGTATTAACCCTTCACTGCTAGTAATTTAGTTTTCCGAGTAGTGAACTACCCAGCACAATTTGCCAAGGACATTTGCATAATTCAGCACTTACTCCAAAAAACTAGATTCCTGGCACCAAAGAGATCCAGTTAATAAATACAACTTAACTCTTGTACTCAAAGTCATTGCAAATCACACCATCAGCGATAAAACGCAGGATAGGAAATCCCATCTTCCAGCACCAAACTGTTGCATGGTATTAACCTGCAGAACACATGCTAACAGGTACTGCAACATCTTGTGTACTAGGGACTCTGTTGAGTAATGCCCAGTTTCCAATTTAAGAGTCTGGAAATCTCAAATTGCAGCAGACGTTATCAGTCTAGCTTCAAACACTCAGCAAGAATAAAAAGTCCCCCTAAAAATATCAACAAAGATCCCTTCAGTAGGTCCATCATTGGACATGGAAATAATGCTATGTAAATTCAGCACCTTTATTCCTAGATTTTTAGGGTCTCATTGTTTTTCTATCCTGGATAACTCAGTTTGTATTTCATCCTTTTATTTATTCTTTACAGCTAAAAGCACTACATCAAAGACCAAACCTCTTACACCATGTCCTTCTGACCTTTTACAAGAAAAAAAATGCAGACTTAATAATTTCATAATTCTTTAAAATGCATCTCCAATCAACCTAATACTCTGCTTTAACATTACCACCTTCTTCACTTTGGCTTTGAAAAGCTTTTCCAAAACCTAAACTGAATAAAGATTACATTTTGTTTTCATTCCAAAGTGGGACAGTTAAGGCTCCAACAATACATGTGCAAACTATATATTGTGAGTGAGGCTCCATCAATGTCAGTGGGATGCAAAGTTAAGTATGTGCCCAATTTTCCCAATTAAGATATTTTCTGTGGAAATTAAGATATTTTTCTGTGGAAAATATCTTAATTTGATTTTTTCCCTGTTTGGAAAAAAATACTGTGCTTCACCCTGAAAATGAAATTGCCTCTTCAGTACTTCCATTGCTCATATTGGGTTGAATTCAGTAATGCATATGAAATTAAGCTGTGGGCCTTAGTCTTACAGTCATACATGTACTGCACTGACAGAAGTATAGAATATTTTGTGACCAGCCAGTCTCAGTTTTCTCATTTTTCTTCTCAAGTAGATTTCTCTTTTTTTTTTTTTTTTGGGGGGGGGGGGGGGGGGGAGAGGGGGAAAGTAGATAGTGATATTTTAAAAAGGATTTGGGCAGGAATCAGTACAAGTTAAGTGTGAAAATCTGGCCAGCCATAAGCCAATATATATACTCTAGGAATCAGACCTGTCATTCCACCTCTGCTGCAGTTTTGACACTTTCAGAATAGAACTATTAATGTTATAAAAGGCATTTTTAATGTTAAGCCCACTTCCCCAAATTTTGGGGTTACAATGATTAGGGGTTTTGTCACTGCTGCATTTAAAGCAGGCCTCCCCAAAATCCCTTCCTAAGACACTATATAACACTCCTGTTCTCTTAGCTTGGAAGCAAAGACTATAGAAGGGCATCTACATGAGGATATCTGGTTCAATCCTGCTCAGAGGAAAGCCAAACACATAAAGCAAGGACTATGCATACAGCCTAGGTCAACAACTCTGACACAGTCACAGGAGATTAAAGCTCCAGACATTTTTCCACATATTAAGTAAATAGCAGAATTATTTGCACATTTTTCTGGAAATAAACCATCAGCGATAAATAACATAAACTCAACTTCCAGCATGTTGTATATTCCTCCAAAGGATTTAGTGGTCCATGAGAATAAAGACAAGCTTTAAGTTTTCCTACAGCTTCCTGAATTTCTTTGAACAAATGCCATGACCCATGTGACTGCTACCTCATTTATGAAGCAGCATTACTAAGCAAAATAAGGCTCAGAGTACTTCAGAAGGTGCATGCCTGTGTCCACAGACACCTGCAGACTGCAAGCACACCACAGAGATAGCTCAGAAAGAGCTCACCAACAGATCAGATTCTCTGATCAGTATTTCAGACAGGTCAGTCAAAAGTACTTAGCGCCTGTTAACTTCTGCTCCACTTCTACAGCCTACAGCAGCAATCACTTTCATTTTATGCACTGCAGCATCCTATAAATTCATGTGTGGAGCCTCTTTTTACTATTTAAAGAGTTAAAAAACGTGTCCAGCCAAGCAGACTCTACTGCTAGACCCTGTCCTAGTATTATATACTGGCTCAGTATATTATTGTATTTTATAACTTGTATATATATATTATACAGTATATACTAGCTCAGGATATGATCACCTCAGACACACCGTAGTGGTAGGAACAAGGAGCTACACTAGTTACCCAGGAGATGTTATTTCCACACCTCATGAAGCTTGGCACAGAGTAACAAATCTGTTTTCTACATGAAATATCAGGTACAGTTCTGTAGCTCTAACAAAGTTTTGCCATTTCTGAACCTATACAAGGTACATCAGGTTTATATTAAAATACCGTATTTGCCAAACGATGAGGAAAAGGGTAACATTTTACTAATGGTTAGCCCATTTAAGACATGGCCAAGTTTAAATATACCAAGTAATCTGTGTATAAAAGCAATTCAAGAAGGGGCAGGTAGAGCTGAAGGTGAACATCTCGGAATGATGAAATCCTGATGTACACTGAACCAAGGTAAACTGTAACAACCATATCATTAACCTTGTGGCAGCCATGCTGTCTATCCCACAGGACAGAGGTACTTACGTCTAGAGAAAACAGAAAGTAAGTTTGTCAGCATGGAACTCATACACAAGATGACATTAAAACCAGTCTTATGATTCCAATTTTAAGAAAAAGAATGTTTATGAATGCAAAATATTTGTCTTGAGTATAGAGTGAAAAAAGGTCTGCAAAGGCTTTGATACTCCCTATACAGGTCAATCACTTATCTGCTTTTAAGGTGTGGATTCCCAAACTGTGGCAGAAGGGCTGGTGCAACATTTCCTTTGCTCTCAGTCCTGTCTCCCCAACCCTGCATCTTGCCCTCAGACCACCATCCAGTGCCTGGATTATCAATTTACCCATCTGAAGAGTAGATTTTTGCCTTTCTCCCAGCTGCACGGCCACATAAGCATGAGTAGTGTCACAAAAAGGCCAGAAGGGGAAAACTGAGCAATAGTTTAGTCTTCATTATAAGCTGATCATGAAACCATATCCTTAGTTCATAAATTACTAAAAAATGAAATGCAATAGGAAGTGTATCCTATCCCAGTGTATCAAATTAAGATGGGATTCTTATCAGGGAATCAACTGAAAGGAAAACTGTTACCCAATTTTGTTAAATCACCATTTCAAGTATCCAATTCTTGAACTGAGCAAAATGGCTCTGATTTTAACCTACAGTTAAAATAGTACCAGCTTTGCAACAAATAACTTAATGGACATTAAAGTCAGTTTATCATAAGTACATGTTGAAATTATTTGCTTTAGCATCTGCATGAACTATTAAGGTAAATGCTACCGTTAACTCATCTGCTGCTTAATATTCATCAGGCACCTTGCTAGTATGACACAACCTAGGACTACCACAGTTCGGTGTAGTTTAACAACAAGCATATGAAATTCCTTTCTCCAATTTTGACTTCTGCTGGAAGATTAAAACGAGTGATGACCATGCATCGAGGTCTTTGTGGTACCAGCTGAAAGGCCCTGGCTTCATAATTTGCACTGGACCTGCACATTTATGCCCCATCACATGTCAAAGGGACTCTACAGACACAACCAGTTTACAAAGCCTTGCAAATCTAGGACCCTACTTAATGTAATTACATTTAGTTAATCCAATATTGGTTTTAAAAAACATTTTAGAAGCTTCTGTCTTGAACATATTTCAATGCTGAATTAGTGAGAATTATTTAAAACCGTTGTCTATAAAGCAGTACAGGTATTCTCCCAGAATGATCAGTGAAACATTTAATCTGACTATAACAAAACACACAGAAACTGAAGCCAGTGAAGCTGTCATATGTAGAGGGAAAACAAAGCTGCATGGCATATGAAGCAGAGTAGCTTTACAAATGTAATTTCCTTTTAAAAACAAGCAAATTGGGACCATCCTATTTGAACATGTATTTAAAAATACATCTTTTAACATCACACAAATTTCATTTTTGTCACACAGGAATCTTTTTCCAAGAGGGAAATAAATAGCACACAATACTTCAAAAAAATCGCTGCCTTGCCCCTGAGGTGCTAATGTTTTTAGTATTTAAAAAAAGTTTCTGGTGCAAGAACTAGATGCACAAAGGTGCAAAAGTGCCTTTTCCTTTTCAGAGCAGTGAAAAGTACAGCTTGCCTCTTTTCTAGGATACCTGATATACTTAATCCGTACATTTTTAATCAAAATCTGTATCTAAAATGGCAGTGTTTATGCATACATAGTAGATTCAGTGCTCTGACCTAACAAAATGCTGAACATAGGCGGGAGAGAGAAAGGCCTGAAACGGGCTTTCTTCTGCTACCCTCAAACCAAGTAACATCGCCTGTAGCAATAGCAGAATTATTTTCTTTCTAACCTTTAGGAGACCTCCAAGAAGAGGCTCCAAATACAACATTTGTCACTGAGACAGTTTAAGTGATTATTGTTTGAAGTATGGCTTTTCACACCACAGTTTTCCTTCAGATTTTAGTCTAAAACTCAAAGGTTCCACAGTCCAGTTCAAAGTTTTGCAGTTTCCAAAACTAAACTTCAGTCTCTACGTAAAAAAGACAGAACTTTATCTGCCTAGTCCTAAATTAAGTTTAGCGTTTTGCACTAATACACCATGTATTATCAAATATGCTTGTTAATTAGGTGCCTGTGAAGCTATAAGTTAACATTATTGTAGTTTTGCACTCTACAACAAAATTAGACATTTTAAGCATTTATTCATAGGTAGGTAAGGAACTGGTTCTTTAAGCAAAAAATGCTATAAATTTATAAATACAAATAGTGCTCATGTTTTCTTCATTCATGCTTGAACAGATTACAAACTGAATACAATGAAGTTACGTTTAAGCACCCCACATAGACAAGAGGGATAAAAGAAAAGTTTGCTGGTATATACTATACTTAGTTCCAAGACACTGTAAGTTACTTTTTCACTGTTCAGTTGTTCCCTAACTCTGCATTAGTTTTAAGGCTATATATACAAATATGTATATTTCAAAGTTAGGGAAAGACAAATATAGCAAAATGCATTGTACTACATTTTCCTATCAAAAAAGTAATTATACACCAAGTTCTGATTCTGTTTAACTGCAGTAAATGTTACAATCTACTTGTTTTACTGATTTTCCTTTTTGGGAATCTGCCTACTAAATGAGTAAACTACATACTAAATACAATATTCTCAACCAAAAAGACAATACAAGGTGCACGAAACAGCAGTTTTGCAAACACGACTGACTCAAAAACTTAGTTTTTGTATGCTTAATGGGAAAAAGCTAAGCTTAAATCAAATTAGTTTATTATCTTATAAAATTTTAAATTAGAATTTTAAACAACGAACAGTTAAATATTGTCAACATGCTATATCTCAAATCACAAGTACTGTTTAACCACTAGTCTCTCATTCTAAGTGGGTCAATTAAAAACACACACCATAAAATGTTAAAGATTGTCAGGCTTTGACAAATGTGTTTTTATCAAACAGTAGGCAAATTCAAACCAATGCACACCTTCAGTGGGGAAAAAAAAAACCAAATAAACCACCAAAAAGCCTGAAAACCCCCACACTTTTAAAAAATAGGGTAATGGATTAATCCCACATCATCCTTTAGCATATGGCTATGTCTTGGGCAATAATCAAAATCCTTCCCATTTTAAAAATGGGCTACCAATTAATAAAAATATTCTTCCACAAGTAAAATATCATCTACAATGGCACTGACATTTTAAAAGGCAGGAAAAAAGGAATTACACATTTATGGATAAATTTCTTGTTTGTTAAATCAAGCTTTATTGATAAAATGGAATTCAAAGTTATTTTACTTGGAACAGCAACAGACCCAGCCAATCAGGATTGTAAAAATGCTGCAGACTCCTACTGTGTGTAGAAAGCTGCCTGTTCATGCTCAGTGATTAGTAGTTTCAGGTAAGGGTTAATGAAAAAAGAGGTGCAGAGAATCAAGGCATTCTAATCCCAAGGTAGGTATGTAACACGATACTATTAATGGGGCATGATTTAACTCCCACTGAAGTCAAAATCAGAACTCCCTTTAACTCAATGTGAGAGCAGGAATGCATCCAAGAATGGATTCATGTTTGCTGAAGAATGTTCACTACTCTTAGTTACGTTTCCATCGCCAAGCAAATTCACACACTGCAGTTTCTCATAAGTTGCCCACAAGACAGCTTTCATATAAAACAAAAAGTTGTCTTTATAGTTTTGAGCACCTCTTGAACACCTAGCTGGCCAGGCTGCTGCTCCTTGCAATCGAAAACCACAACATGAATTAAAGGGATATATATTGTTGCATCACACAAGCCAAACATTTCTTCTAACCTTTATAGTGATTTAAAGCAGTTCATAATTAAATATGAGCATTTTGTACAAGACAATTGCACTTTACAAAAAACAAAATCATACAACATAAATTGCTGGAGTCTGATTTACAACATTAATTACGGTTTGAAATCACGTTTACAGAAGTCTGTTTTACAAAAAAGATCAGTTCCTGGGCTAGATGTCGCACTGCTGTAGTCCTCTCACCAACACATCATATTCCCTTCTTTAACCAAGGTTGAGGATGGATGTTAAGAAGGGTCACTGAGGTTGGGGTGCACTTTCATTTGAAGGATGAAACGTGATTTCCACAGCTAGATGAGCAGTTTTACCACATATCATCAGTTGAGGCAGAATCCTTAAAGAAAAAAGAAGGAACCCTTTAAAGTCTGGAGTGCCCATATTTACAGAAATTTCTGCATAATCCAGACTGAAAAGGGTAAAGACTTAAATCACTTTAGGAGACTCTTTTCTCCCCCCTTTCAGAAATAGCATTTAAGTATCTAAAGCCCACATATGCTTAATTTATGAAGCATTAGTACCAACACACTTTAAAATCTTACCAAGTGATTTAGGATAGCCTTATTAAGCCTCAAAATAATATCCCAGAACATCATTCAAAAACATTCCCAGAGTATTTAGAATAAAAAATAGTCCCCCTAACTACACAGGTGTGTTAAAAGAGCAGGATGTGCCTCATGCCATTTGTTATTATCAATACCATCTTCTGTGTTTTCAGCCCTCCCTCACTGCACAGGAAAATAGAGCCATCAACTGACACCCTGTTGTAATTCAGATCAATTTTAACACTTATAATTTCAAGTTAGAGAAGTGCATTTATGGCAACTGCAGGAAAACCTAATTTTGGATGCTAATAAAACTGCAAAGATATGCACCCAACATAAGAATATTTGAAGTGAAGACATGACACGCTCTAAATCGTAACTGGATGGACACACTATGTGGCATAACAACCATGCAACCAGTACCTGATTACCTCTAAAACTTGGTCCATTTGAGCTCGCTGGGCAATTGTGGATTTTGTGTAACTACCACATCCCTGAAAAAGTGTTTAACAGATTCTAGTGCAACTAGAAGCAAACTGCTTCTGTACAGCAATCCTGATTGTTTCAGCATTACCTGCTACTTCCCCTAAGTAATTAAGGGCCAAAATGGGCTTTAACAACAGCATATGAGGGTGCTTCCACAGTTACACTTCCCTATAATTAGTAAGATTGAAGGTGGTAGAAATACTACTCTTCTTCAAAAGCACTGCCTGATTCCTGTGAGAGAAAAAAGGCTAATTAAGTCTCTACCAAGCCACATATGACCATTTCTTAGCACTAAAGTTATGCACCTTTCATTCAAACTTGCACACACAATTCATTACAAATCATAAAGAACAGATGGCACAGAGGTACAGTAAAAAAACTCAAATCACTAAAATTACCCTTTGCAAAAGTACGACCTCCAGCTTTTTCTTCTGGACCAGAATTGGCAAAGGAGAGCAATTACATGAAAGACCAAAATGGTTATGTTTGTTTCAGGTGTAAGATGAAGAACAAAAGCAGTAGCAAGTAAAAACTCGGGAGCTGCATGCCAACTATTCAGTATGCAAATTTCTGTATCCAAGTTGCCAATATCATCACAAAACTAGTAGTTTGTATACTGTACATTTACAGAACAGTAACATACTACAGAATGTATTTTGAAGGTAAAGCATCTTTCAGCCACTATTTAGGATTATTTATGCTAAAGAGATAATGAGAACTGCCAAATAAACTAGCGCCCTGTTGTAAAGCCAACGTACAATTCATTATGTCTGGATGCATTTCACTTACATCACATCTAAGCATGTAATAATTTTTGCTGGTAGGTAAGAGAACTATTTAATTGTTTTATGAAAAACAGCACTTTTTGTGACAGAATATTGTTTCCAGTGATCTAACTGCAAACATATGATCACTGTTTGTATTTTAGTTTGTCGATATTTGTCACTTCTGCCACTGACAGGAAAGAACCTAAACTGTATGCTTGTTGCAAGTTGCTCTATGCTTAAGAATAAAAGCACTTATGCAGTCCACTTGGAAAATTAGTATATCTTTAAAGGTGATAGTTACAAATTTACTTAACCTACAAGTACAGCCATTTTATTATTGGTATTTGGGGGAAAATGTCTCCCTTAAGAAGGAATAAAACCCCATACATGACTGCACCATTTGGCAGGAAAGCATTTGGAAACCCAGACAGAAGACAATGAAATTCCAGAGAACAAATGAATCAACCATATTGGGGGTTTCAGACTATGATCAGCAGAAGGCAGGAGAAAACAACTAAAAAATATAGTCCAAAGAGTACAACACTGCTACTGCTTCTTTGGGGGAAGCAGTAACTAGCAATATGTTTCTTTACAAAACAGCTAAAATAATTGTGTGTGTGGTGAAGGTAATGTAAGAGAAAGGATACTTACAGTATCATCATTCCTGTAGGGGTTCAGTCTATTATAAACGGCTTCAATCACACTCCGTCTAGAGCAAAAAACAAACCCACAAGATTTTAAGGTGGTGCCATTTTTTTTACGTCAAATTCCCTAAGTACAATTTTTGCTTAAAATGTAAACTTTAGAATGTTTTAAATTCACATAGCCAAGTTCACTGCAAGTTAGCCCTTAGTGTCATTAAACACTGGAGACAGTTATGGCATCCTTTAAAAGCTTTAGGTTCAAGAAAAATAAGGCTGAATACCACTCAAAATTCAGCAGGAGAAGAGCACAATCTGACATCCAGGTGAGGCTGCAGTGCTGCCTGATGCTACACTTCCTGACTTTTGAGAAAGGGCATCAGAAAACTTGATGGACATTGAATACCCTCGTCACTTGTGTGTCTGATGAACACTCCAGTAGTACTTAATATATTATGGCACTTTAATAAATAGTAAGGCTTTTTATTTTCTGGATGCACAAAAATTGCATTCTGAAATACATTTTTGTTCGTATCACATTTCAAAATGTGCTTTCCATGAAGCAGTATGTCCAATACTCTCCTGCCACATTTCTCAAAAAAAATGTAAAATGCAAACAGCAGTTCTATGTATTGTATCTTCAGTCTTAGCAGAATTCCGTCTGGTAAAAAATACACTTAAAAAATTCAGGAATTTTGTCAGCTTCGTCCTTTAAAAAAAATTTGCTTAGCATATTTAAGGTAGCGTGGAATTAACTTTTATCTCTGGGATTCTTAACTTTTCTAATATTGATAGATATATTGACAGGAAAAAGACTGAGAAAATATTCATAGAGAAAATGCACTTAACACGTAAACAAGAAACACTTCATTCGTTTTTGCTTTGTTTGTGACACACGGTGCAAAGGTTTTCTTTAAAACTGACACTCAAAACCCCAACAATGTGAGGCTGAAGGAAGAGGAAGCCTTTGCCTTACCAAGGTAATAAGGAAACAACCTTGGAGAGGGAGCAGGGAATAAAAAGGGGAGTAGGAAGGAAAGAGGGGAGTAAAACACAGGAATTACAGATTGGAATTTAAAAGCAACTTTCTTCCAAATCCCTTTCTGCAGAACCAAATATGACGCAGTACCAGACTACAACTGTGATACAAAACCAGCTTCAAAGAACAACCTTTTAACTGCTCATGAATGCATGCAGTGCAATCACAAAGGAGTGCAGCAGAAGAAAAAAAGCAGATGACAGGCTTTATAATAATCTCATAACACTAAAATGTCAGGAACTACCATGCAGCAGTAGAAACATCACAGTGCATCTAGCAAATGATTATATGGCATGGAAGAAGAGACTGAATTTAAAGCAATAAAACCAAGCAATTACACACAAAGTACACTGCACATAAAACTTGAAAGTTTCCCTTATTTTTCAAGCAATATGTATCTTTGATTACAAATAAAAGGTTTCTTGAAAAGCATTATTTTTCTTCCAAATTGACAGTAGTGCTTTGAGCTAAACTAACACCCAATTAAATCTACACGTCTATCAATCCCTATTTAAACTAGCATCTCTAAGACACAAAATCCAATGGAAATCAGTCACTTCAGCACCACCTCACAACCATAATACTAGTGCTAGCCAGAGGAGACTGAGAAAAATCAATTTGTATGCCATACTTCATGAGTAAATGACTCATCAATAGCTCAAAAGTACAGCAACACATCCTAAATAGATGCTATTATACACAAAATTGACATCTCTTCCTGGTCAGTCAATTCATACAAGAACAATTTTATTCTGTAGAAGTCATTTTACAGTTATTTATTCAATTACATACCTAGAGTCTTCATGTTTTTTGTGTTAACAATACAAAAATCATATTCTGAAGGATTAAAAATAAGTCTGTAACATATGTGCCCAATCCATTTTAACACAGCACAGGTTCACAAAAAATCTTTTGAACCAAAAAGCACTTGGCCTGGGTGTGCAAATGAGCTAAGCGCATTGTTTCCTTAAAGACTGAACATCTATTTGAGAAGCCACAAAGCATCAATGCTGAACACCTTAAGGACAAAGCCAGCCCATATAAGGGTGTAAATTTAGCTTCCAACTTTTTTCATAGACTTCTATCTAGTTTTCAGATTTGTCACAGCAGAGAGATACAAAAGCAAACTTTAGGCAAGTACAACATTGCTTTAGCTACAGACAAGAAAAGAAAGCTGCCAAGCAAAACATTATACGCATGTCACTTCTTGTCAAAGTGTGGAACTACATACCCAAGGAGCTATTATGTCAGTGAATTATATCTGCACCTTCAAATGTAACCTCCCACCCAAAAAAAACAGTTAATTACAGAAAACAGACACACTCAGGCCACCCTTAAAAAAACCCTTGGTCCTTCCCAAAGCAACAGTTTGACATTTAATTTTAGTAGCGATTCAGTTAACTCTGTTCTTATGCTTGTCCTGTCCATTCAGAAAAACTGAGTAACACAAATTGAAGAACAGATCATAACCTTTTGTCCTCTACCCTTTTTCCCCTCCCCCCGCTTTTAAGAGTGGCCTTGCAGTTAAGTTTTGATTTAAATGAAAAACCACATTTATACCGATGTGAACTCACTTGCTTGCCAATTCACCCCCTGGCGGGAGGTTTGGGATGCTCTCAGTGGCTAATGTACGCATCACGTGGACTAAGTCTGGGACTCCTTCACCCTGCTTCTTTATGATCTCTGGGAATCAGAAGTACTTTTTTTGTAAGTGCAGTCCAAATTTAACTTAAAAAGATTGAAACACTCAGTTTTATAAAAAGGCAGCTTAACTTTAGTAAATATATATACATATATTAAAAAAATATGACAGACTATATTCAACATGGTAATTGTTAACTTTGGTTTGGTAAGAAAAAGAACATGTAACAGATTTGACATACATTCCTAATTGTTAACATGCACACTGGTTTTAGAAGTACATAGCTACCTAATAAAAGCAGGGAAAAAAATCTTTAATGGCTTTTCTGCTATACATTAGATATAACAGAAGATGCAGTATCTTCCCAGCAGAATACCCTGCGCTTTATCGCCGCAACAGAAGGTAAAAGACTATCACCATCTTACAAAGCATAGCACTTTCGAAAACCAAAAAGTTAAGACAAAAATAACTCCCATGACCGTATGTGTGTTAGCCAATACTCATACCTCACTGCATTACAGCAACAAGCTAATTTAAGAACTATTACATACAAGTTAAAAGCCGGGACATCACATCTAAGAGACAATTCTGTCCTCAACTCACTTCAGGGATATGTGAACATTGGGCAGTTGTTAAAACCTGATCCACTCCAACTTCTGGGTGAAGAGAATCTGTACTGTACCCACAGTCACATTTGCTAAGAAATTTAGTCTTTATTTTTAGCCTTTTTTTTTGGTAAGCACACAATTTTATTTGAACTCAAGAGACCATACCACCTCTGAGGACTTACACTTTAAATAGGGATTTTATGAAATTTGAGGAACATTGGTTTCTCTGTAAACGTGAGCTCTTAGAAACTGCAAGACAGATGAATTTTTAAGATTTGGCACTTTTGATCTTCAAGGGAATACTGCAGCACACACCATAATGTGCACATACATGCACACATACATACATATATGTAGATGCACACTATTCTTCATGTAATAAAGTATTTATGGAGCTTGAAGAGTAGCTGGAATTCATCAGCACCACTTTTGAAGAATAACATTCAGGTTTTTTCCCTAAATGATAATTCCAGAAAAGCATACAGAGTTTTTATTTTAATAATTTGATTTGTGAGATAAGGCACATTAAAAGCGTTAAAAACCAACATGTACCCAGTCCTTTTTTGTTAAAAAGAAAAAAAAACAAAACCAAAAAAACAAAACCAAAAAAATCAACCCACAATTGTGACTTACTTTCTGTACATGTAAGTTTTTCAGGGCTGTCTGTGTTTTAAAAAGCATCAGCTGTATTTTGCAGTCAGACTGTGTAAATTATTTGCCAGGTACAGTGGAAGCACTGTCTAGGCCTCAACAAGTGTCAAACTCCGCAAACAAAAAGCTTTAAGATATTTACTTCCAAACCTACTTTTTATATAAACGACACCACATACCATAGACACCTCAAAAATTTGCCATTTCCTCAACATCTATAGCCAAAATTTGTTTTACCATCTAGTATTCAGTAAACAAACTAACACTCTTAAATCTCAATAAAAAGCAAAGATCTCAGATTTGGTTTGCCAAGTTCCTTTATTGTGCAATTTTGAACATCTAATATATTCTACATTGTACTAGTGCTAAAGTTCTGCTGTACAAAAATAAGGAATTTATAGTTTACCTATACTACACAGTTTCACAACCTGTAACTGCAGTACATTTAACATACAGTCTCCACTAAATGAATACATTTATATTTTGATAAAACTACAGATACAGACTGAATGAACACTGAAGACACAACAAATGGAGTCGGTCTGCTAGCTGTGTTGAATTTATTGGAATTATCTTCTTTTAATACACCTTGTAACCCTCCCCCCAACCTTTAATTTACTTTTAAATCTTCTACACATTTTCATGGCATCAAGTACTGGAAAAATGTACTTACAACCCTAAAATAAAAGATTCAAAACATATCAGCTTTTTGATATTCTATATGGGAATCCTACACAAAGTTTAAGGAAAAGCCAGAGCTTTGATTTTGTGAAAAAATATGAGAAGGAACATATAATGGCTTACTTAAAATTATTTCTCTCTGTAGGTATAAATATTGCAAGGATTATGTATTATGGAATGTTTTTATGTAAAAAAAAATAATAGAAAAAAAAAGCTTAGACAACTTTCTTTTTAGAGTCCACACATCAATAACACATATTAGTGCAAATAATAGCAACACATTTTGGAATGACTGATTACTTCTACCATGAAATTCACACGATACTTTAGGAGTAACACTGATTTATTGCAAGTAATGGTACAAAGATGCTTCTCCACACTTGCTGCTTCTTCCATTATTATTTATTGCAGCTATGAATCCGGACCACAAACACATCAGAATTAGTAAAAGGAGAGTCCTAGGTGTGATGGTTAAGTAGAAAACTTTCCACATTTCTAAGCCTGAATCGCCTCTCTTTATTCAAGATGACCACCAGTACTAAACCCCATTCAGTCTTAAAATTTGCACTGCTTCTTAAAAGTATCAACTTATATTTTAGGTTGAGGGAATAAAAGAACAGCCAGGAAAAAAATAAAAAAGCACATTAGTAAGCATCAAATCTCATCACTTGTTGGACTACACTGAGTAGTGAAATGCATAAAAATACATGATATGCATTTTCAGTTTAAAGTTGAAACAGAAACTTGGTGAAATTACAGATCAGTGAGATCTTTATAAAAGTACTCTTTATATTTTCTAGTTCCTTCAGCTGTAGATTATGCTTTTAAAGTTAAGCACTGCCATTCTTAAAGTATCCTAGGATAACAGCAAGATTGTTCATTGTAGTGTTGAAAGCTTCAGATGCTGTAGCAGCCCTACCTCACTAGCCATACTGCACTATCCACTTACACCAGGAAACAATTAACTACTAAGAATTACTAAGTTCAATGTAACAAGGTTAATCAATTCCTGGTCTTAAAGTTCTGCCTTATTTCAGCCTCTCAAATTCCCTCATGAGTAAGACCTAAAAGGCCAAATTCTCCATTCAGCTGACATAAATCACTGACGGACTGAACAGTGTTTAAAACATATTAATTTAAATAATATCTTTGTGCAAGAATAGATAAGAGATTGAGGGTATCTCTAAAAACCCTTTTGGGGAAGTACAATATATTCCCTCAAACTCTTCAGACATCATCCCTATAAATTAGTATTAAAGTGCTTTACAGAATCCTTCTGCCTCTACACATGTATCAAACTTTGCTCATTCTTGAAATTCTGTTTTGTATAAATGCAAAGTACTGGCAGCCAAATTCATTGTACAGTTCCAGTGTTTAGGTTCTTCATGTACAAAATGAAGTGTGCGTACAAAAATGTCAGCTTTCCTCATCATATATTCCTCAGGTACAATAAGGCCAGCTGAAGATGCAGCCTTGAATGTGTTTTCATATTGTAGGTCATGGGTTTGTCTGAATTCAGACAAAATATCTAAGATACAAAGGTAACACTTGCCCAAATGAGGAGAGTTAGCATGCTGTGAATTAATGTGTGACTTTACAGCACACTTGCTCTTCACAAATTCTGTGGGTGGGCACACAGCTCTTCAAATGCCTGGTGCAAAACTGCTCACTGCTTTGAAATGGAGAAAGCCATCTGACACTGAACTCAAGCAGGGTTACCATGCCCTTGGATATTCCTGCTACGCTGTCAAAAAGATTCACACTATTGCTTACTGTGCACCAACTTCTATTAGGGAAGTGTTAGCTTAAAACACAGAAGCATCTTTCTAGACCTTTGTTCAGGGGCAGAACAGATGTAGTTTGCCAAGACATGGCGAATGAAGCCTTTAAAAAAAGGTGGTACTTTCTGAAGGAACACCTACACAGGTAGAAAGTGCTTTAAAACTGCACATTGATTTATCTGAACCCAGAACTCCCATGCAGGCAAGTTCTCTGTGAAATTTCTGAAGCTGCACTGTCATCTTCATGGAAGTTAAGGAGGGGAAAAAAGCACACAATAAATTCCTCTGGCCTACTAATCACCAATACCATACTTGTGAAGAACTCTGTGTATTGTGCCCTGTGTGTTATTAAGGACTTGTGCAGTAAATACACATAACTAGACTTGTAACATATGGGTCTAGAGGAGTCCACATCAAAAACAGACTTAACCTATGTAAATAATGCATACAGCTTGTCTTATGTTTCAGAAACAAACTCCAAGCTGTGGTTGTTTTTAGATATCAAAAGGCACTATAAATACAAAGATAATGAGAAATCTTTTAAATCAAATTGATTTCAAATATCATTTTCAGTTAGGTCACCCAAAATTTGTTAAGACTTGCAGTTTCAGTTTAAAGCTTAAGAACTCCTGCAATACAAATCTGAAGCAAAATTCTGCAGTTACTGCCAGCATAAGATGAGCTCCCAGCTTTTGTTCATCATGAATGCTTAAAGATTAGCTTTGACAGATTTCTGACGTACTTTCAAATAAATGAATATGTTAGCAGGTGTCTTAAAGATGACAGCAATCAAGCTGTAACCCTACCGTAACTGGATAATATTATGACTAACTGATTTGTTCATAACTATCCAGAAAAATGGCACTGAAATTACCATCTTCACACTTTGCAAGATATTCCGATTATTTAATTTAACTCATTTAAAAGGAACCAAGATTTACTGGTCAGAAGTTAGTGCTGTCAATTGCCTCATGAAGAACACAGAGCACAAATGCATTATTTCTCTGCTGTTCTGAGTAACTTTCAGAACCACAGGCTGCGGCACTTGCATAGCAGATTTTTTCAGGACATGCAGCAGGACTATCTGAGTGCCTTTTTCAGGGATGCACACTAGATGGCCAATGGCACTTGAAGGTCTATTAAAAAGCTTGAATGTGTTAAAAGTTTAGTTGCTGGAAGGGGAAAGGGGCCAGGGGGTCTGTTTAGAAACAAAGTTACTTATTTTTTTTTAAATGATCCACCTTCTACTCTGCTTTCCAGGTACTTGTCCAACTCTGCCTCTCTTTTCACCGCCTCTGGTGATACCTTTGGTGCATTCGGAAAACAGATCAATATCACACTCATGTTGTCTCGACTTCCCTGGTGGAAAAGAAAAAATTATTTGAGAATGTATAGACGCCAGGCTAAATACATATCAAAGCATTTTACACACAAAAATTCACAAGTCATAAGGTATTAGAATACAACTTTTACTACTATGGATTAATATTATCGTTCTCCTTAATTTCCTCCTACCGCCTAAAAAAACTCCAGAAGTCTGCCCACTTCTTCAGCACAATTTAAGCCACTTTGTTCCTTGATCTTTTATGGTCTGAAGACTACATGAGGCCAATGACACACAGCCCCATTGTCTCTGAAAAACAGACATTACTAAGGAGTGCTGTATAATTACAAAGTTGTGTTCCATCTTAATTTAAGTACTATGCAATCCTTTTCGGAAAACAGCTGAATATCAGATGGGTAAACAAAACCATTATCACTTAAAAGCTCTAAATACAGAAGTGCTGAATTGAGACAGTGCTTCCACCTAAAACCACAGCTATTATTTTGTTTGGGTTTTTTTCACCTCTTTTTTCCTCCCTTCTCATTTAAAACAAAAAAGTTACAAGGGAGAGAATCTGTTAAAAGACCAGCTGGAAGGGGCCCAGGCCTTTACAAAACCATTCATTGAAATGAAAACATTTAAAACTCCAAGTAAACAGAATACTAATACTTGAATATGTTAAAATACAAACACATTTTGCTTATGAAAAGTAACAGTTTGCTTTCAATATCCCTGTGCTCTCATCTACACGCATGCATCCATATGCTTAACTTTTAACACCAATTAAATCCGCTGAGGTAAGCAAGAACAAGCCAGTGTTCAAAACAAGTGTATATGAGCGCATGGAGAGGTACTGACAGTTGGCTACTGCAAAGCTTACAGCATCCATAAGCCACTGCTCCTTCCCAGGTTATTTGTTTTTGGGATTACCAGATGAAAATTGTAAACAAAAATATATGTATTATCAATCTGCCAAAGTGCTAGAAAACAATAACGTTTTTCCAAAAGGCAAACAATGACCCTCTTAGCCATGTTGCAAGAACGGAGATGCTGTCTTGTCTCTCTAGTATCAAAAATGTTGGCTTTTTTCATAGAGCACATACTGGCTTGGGTTGGAAGGGACCTTAAAGATCAGGTAGTTCCAACCCACTGCCATGGGCAGGGATACCTTCCACTAGATCAGGCTGCTCCAAGCCCAGTCCAACCTGGCCTCAAACACTGCCAAGAATGTGGCAGCCACAGATACGCTGGGCAACCTGTGCGAGTGCCTCACTACCATTACAGGGAAGAATTTCTTCCTAATATCTAAATCTATTCCCTTTCAGTTTAGAGCTATTATCCTTTTTCCTTCACTACTTGCTCTTACAGAAAGCTTTCCTTTGGAAAATCGGATGTCAAGCTATGAAACTCTGTAACTGCACCATCCTGTAACTTACTAATACAAAGTATAAGTTAGACAAAATTACACAGATGTGTTAAATAAAACCTTTCCAACATCTTCTACCTGAGCTAGTTTCAGAGTTGTACCACATGAAGCTGAATAAAAAAATATAGTCATAAAATTAGAATAAAAACTAACTTAGGAAGTCAGATCTTCATATAGTCAAGAAAAAATTTTAAACTGCAAAATGTGAAGTCACGGTTCATTCATTCTGCATTTATACTGCTGTAGTTATGACAGTAACGTTACTACTATATGCCCAAGAAAGGAAGGGAAGATTAGGAAGGGAGAGAATATTCTCTAGCCTGCTTAAGTCTTAAGAGTTAACCTTAAAGTATGCTGTGAAACAAAAAAGAGCAGTTACTGTCCTTGGGCTTGCCCATAAATTCTTATCAGCTTTTAGTTTCCCAGCGATCACAATGTAACTGCACGTGATTTTAAACTCATTAAGCAAAACCACCCAGAAAGCTGTACTGTTTCTGTCGTTCTTCTCTGTCACCATTTTTGTGGGAATCATGGTAATTACCATCAAAGTCATGTTAACATAAACCATCGGATACTTATAGAGTGGACTCCACACTTATTCTGAACTTGTTCATAAACTTCTAATAGTGAAAACACAGTAAACTTCTTCTCTCAAGTCTGGCTACCTTGTACAAGCAGGTGTCAACTATCTCATTGCAAACTTTCTCAAGGTCATCAGTGACTTCAAGTCTGGATCTTACAAAGTCACACAGCTCTTCATTTCCCATAACATCCCAGATACCATCGCAAGCCAGTATGATGAACTGATCATCTTCTTCTGATCTCTCAATTTCATAAACTTCAGGCTCAGGTGAGACTAGCTGTTCTGTAGGACCTTTCCCATGGACACACTTGTAATCAAAGTCCCCAAGTGCCCTTGAAACTGCAAGAGAGCCGTTCACACGCTGAATCATTACAGAGCCACCTGCATTCTGTATACGCTCTTTCTCCAGTGGATTACTTGGTTTGTGATCCTGCGTGAAGAAGTGAACCTTCCTGTTTCTACAGAGCAAACCTCTCGAGTCTCCACAGTTGATGAAGTATGTATGTTGGGGAGAAATCATGACACCCACAGCTGTTGACCCACTTCTGTCTGCACCATGTTTCTTCTCAGAGATGACTCTCATGTGTTCATCAATTTGCAGAAAACCTGTTCTGATGCCGCTCTTTACACTTTCCACAGATGGAGGCCCATCTGGCCCTTTAAAATCCTGGTTGCTTGTGATGTGATCTAATAAATGCTCACAGCAGTACTTGGCAACCTGTGATCCAGCGTGCCCATCATATACAGCAAAAAATGACCATCCATCAAGTCCATTTGGCAAACCAATCACAGCTGTATGTGCATCCTCCATTTCAACTCGCCAGCCTTGCATACTACTTAGACCGTAACGAAGCCCATTCCCTTGTCCCTGGGCATTATGCTTCTCCATCTTTGGCTTGTCTAAAAATGCTCCCATGATGGCCTTCCTTCAGTTCTAAAAAGAAAAAAAAAAAAAACTTTTTTAAACATTCTATTGGAAACTATTAAATAATAGCCCAACTAATGCTAAGATGCCAAAAATACACATATAAAAGGTGACTTTTCTGTGTCTCAAGTAAAATTTGCATTGTTTTCATCCAGTTTAAACAAGGACACTGCTACTAGCTGAACTGCACTTTTGATATTTTAAAAGTATTTTCAGCTGTTTTACTTGAAAAACTCACATTCCACTATCGTTCATGGTTCTGACAAACGCCTCTTGCCTAAGTATGTATGAAATCAGTTTGAAAGAGGACTTATTAACTGGCACACATCTGAATAGCTGTGATTACCGAGCCAATGAAAAGTTCAACGAGTCCAGGACAGTGGCACTCCCTAGATTCCTGCCTGCTGGCCATAAAGTCCTGGCTGACACTCCACTTCTCCAATGGAGATGTGGAAACAAAAGCAAATTGATTAGGTTTGGGGGTTTCTTGGTTGGTGCTTTTTTTTTCTTTTTTTTTTTTTTTTAAACACATAAAATGATCTGAATCATCAAAATGATGCCAGAGTCTACATAAAGGAAGAGGCAACACTGGATAACTAGAAGCAGGACTCGGAACACAGCAGCTGTCCCTTTAGGCATCAGCAAGCCATTAGTTTGTCTCAGCCATCTTGTGAAAGCTCATCCTTAGATTTTCAGTTAAATTACACAGCAAGCTTCTCAGATGTCTGCGCTGCAGATTTACCTAAACCCTTAATGTATTCAAACTTCACTGCCCCTGACAAGTCCATGGAAATCTGTTTGGAAATAAAATCACATGTGTTGTAAATTCATGCTTCTTTATTCAAGTCAGACCAAAATGTTGCACACCCCATCCTCCTGCACCTCCCTTCACTGGGATATGATGCAGCAAATATTCATGCTTAAGAGAATAAGAATTATTATTTGCAGGTAGCGTAAACTGATTGGTTTATCTTCATGGCTTTCACACCCTAACCATCCAACCCACCCTTCTAATCCACATCAGTTTATTTGTGCATTCATTATTAAAAAAAAAATCATACAAACTAGGTCACACATTTTACATACTTGCAAATTCGGCCCTGGGAAGCATCAAAGAGTGTGCAAATCACTGTTACACAATACAAGGGAATGGAACAAGATTGTGAGCTTTTCTATTTGAAGACAGTGGACAAAAATTAAATGTAAGAAGAGTCTCTGAAAGAGATTTTACCTGAGGCCCCAACTAAGCAGCTGCTCTAGCACAAAAAATACTAGGAATTTTAGAAGGTTTTAACTTCAATGTGAAACACATTTATCAGTTTTCTAAGTGATAACACTGCTTTTTGATAACATGCTTTTACTGCAATACAGCTCCAGCTATGACACTGTATATCCAAAAAAGCATTTACATCTTCCAGCCACTATCAACCTTTCAAAAAAAAAAAAAAAATCTGTGTTAGAATAAACAGTCAAGAAATGTTTATATTTGATCTCACCACAAAAATGATTCAAGTGTGAGGCATAGGGACTGGATATACACTCTTTGGCTCACATGCTTTGTTAGCAAAAACAAAGCCACACGTATTTCAGCTGTACAGAGAGATGTCAGCAGCAGTACATCTCTGCTACCTCTCACCCCCAACCCCTGCTCTTAAGTTCTGTGTTCTCAAGCAAACACATAACACCGATGCCCACACAAACTGTAATTAGCCAACAAAATATAGTGTTCGCTGGTCGTGGATCCTAAGCACATGCACAAGGTTCACATTACTGCAGTTGCTAGGAAAAAAATATGACTTAAGACTTTTTTATCTTCACATGCAACTCTAGTGAAGTCAGAGTGATCAAAATAATTACAGAATGCTGCCATAAGTCAAATGGGGAATTATTCTACAGAATAATAGACTTTTTATTAATTCCATGACAGCAGCAGAATTTAAACTAACACCCAACACCTTCTTATTGTCAAAGAGACCATAAAATAGAATGCAGATACTCAATTTTTTCTCCTTAATTTAGAGCTCAAAAAGCAGGATCTGCTCTGGCAATCACCACATTTTTGTGAAGCATTTTACATTATTGTGTTTAAAACAAAATAGAACAGCATTAATAACAAGATAATTAAACTGACCACAAGCACTGACAAATTTGGACTAAAAAAAAGGCAGTTTTCTTTCTCATTTATCACATCACTAAATACATAATATTCAGAGTTGTGCTTTCGAAGCTATCTGTCCCTCTCAGTAGTTTGTCATGTAAACCACAATTAAAAATACATAGTCGGGTCATAAGCAGTTGCAGCAACTCACACAGAGCTGCTGGCACACTTCAAAAGTTAAGAAATCCACTCTCCATTTAAAATCAAGTTGCTTTATCCCTCCCCAGAAGGTAAACTGAAAGTGGTTGCTATTCTAAATTAAGCCTAGTTGGTGAGATGTTGACACCCTTCCAGGGCGCAAATGACCCACCACAGATGCCCATACAACCAGACAGAAGGATAACCACAATGTTGTCATGTAACTTCTACTTAGGAAATTATTCACAGCCCATAAAGTATTCAACTTCTGAAAACAGCAATAACAGACTGCAGCTGTCTTCTCTGCAAACACTCTAGCTGACCATACTTCCACCAGAACACAGGTCTAAACCTGTAAGAGAGTAAGGTGAGGTTTTCAAAACCCTCATATGTACCTGAAGAGAAAGTATAGCTTACTCTGGGACATGATGAATATGTCAAGCCTTTAGTTTTAGCAGAACTTCAATTCTTGTTCAGAAAAATGTGAGTTTAATATGACCAATCTGTGAATTCTTATTAATTGGAAGGCTACCTACTACTTCTCCCCCCCATACCTTCATGTGTGGCTAAAGTCTGAGGAATTTAAAGAGTCTTGGTTAAAACAAACAAACAAAAAAGCACCACAACAAACAACCCAAACGCACCCCACCCCCCAAAAAAAACCCACAAACCAAAACAGGCCACCTTAAGACATTAGAAAGCACTGCCTCCTTCCTGCTAATGGTACCTTTTAGGCTGCTTTGGAGTACGTATCTACAGAAACATCTTTCACCCATCAGTCTCTACCTAAATCGCTGGTGTGTTTCTCGTTCTTTCAGGAGGTGGTTTGTGCACTGTACTGATTTAGTTGAAACAACACCTTTAGTTACACATATAACTGTATGCAAATCAGACTAACAGCAGTGCCAGCGCCTAAGTTACAGCATGACTTTATGTAATAACATGAAAGAGAGAAGTCAGACCCAGAACAGTTTGCCTGCACAATGTGCAGTAAAGCAACAGATTCCCCTCTCCCGTATTTCTTTAGTCATCTTCCTAAACAGGAGTCCTCATCTTATGACCCTTCTTCTCAAATAATTTTACTACCCCTCCCCATTGCGCTGCTTAACCCAGCCACACATTTCTGCAGTCATGTTAGAAAACTGCAGTCTTGTAGAGGGAGACAGAACCAGTCGTCCACTCTGAAATGCTCAGCTTTCGGGCTGTTTGAACGATGCACATACATACTAAAGAAGACATTCTTCCTACACTTATTAATGCCAAAGTAAGAGAAAATGCACTTTAACATGAAGTTTAGTGGCAAATGTACACCACATACTCTTAAAACAGAAGAGCTTTCAGCAGTCAGTTCCTGGATTTTGGCTCTGAAGAAGAGAGGCTTCTGAACAAAACTTAAAAGTGAAAACAGACCCCTACATGTAAAACCGACAAGTAAATATATATATTCAGGGGACCCATCTATGCATCTATGAGTACATCTAAACCATGACCTCTGAAACGGTGATTTTGTGGAGATCAAACTGAAGACAGTCTCTATAGCAAGTGCACCAAAAAAAAAAAAAAATCAAGTAGCAATTTGCAGACAGAAAAGTAATACTGTACCGGGCCTACAAAAATCAACACAAGTAACTAGATCTTGGATGAAACACAAGAGTGCCAAAATTCAAAGGACTGCAGCATTAGAAACAAAACTGAAATAATGAATGGAGCATGCCAAAGAGTCAGCAGCTAAACTCCTTGAAAATAGATGCCACTGGAGAACAGACTGGCAAAGAAAAGGAGGGTAATTAGTATACCAGACCATGGACAACCACGGACAACCACAGATACATCACTGGAATGCATGAAACCTCTTTGCCCCTTTCATTTGTTCCTCAAATTGTGCTATCCAGACAGCACAAGTATAAGGCCTCCTGATATACACAAAAATAATTTTGGCTGTTTTGCTATTTGCTTATTCATTTATTTGCATGTTCAAATGAAGATAAATCTTAAATTGCTCACAAATGACAGTTATTGTAACTCCATGTACCGCTGTAAAAAGACAATTTATTTTTCCAAGGAATTCAGACAGGGATTTGATCGCACTGCCCAAGAAAACCAAGCACCACCATTTGAAACTTGTACTTCAACAATCTGTAATTTAATAATCCTTTTAAAACAATGTTTGAGTTATACTCCTTCCACTAGCATAAGCTGCTTATATAAACCACACTTAAGTCATGGGTGCTTGTTCAAACTAAGCTGAGAAATGTCCCCACACTCCTATTTCCTAGAACAATGCTCCAACTGACATTATGCCCTGTGTGCTGTAATGAGCACCATAAAGAAAGATTACAACTTTTACTTGAACTACAGGATACAGATCAAGTCATCAAATTATACAGAGTGCTACTGAAGGGGGGGGCGGGGAGGATAAAAAAAGAGCATTTGATCCCTTCAACTTCCATCTGATTGTGATACTACCCCCCCACCTTAAGCAGACTGGATGCACTAACCAGTCAGCACATAACTGCGCAAATTACGTGGAACCATGTTCAGAAGCTAGTGCCCGTTGGATGAAAAACTGACAGTACTTAGTGGATGCCCCACATCAATTAATGTTAACAAACAACATGTCAGAGATCATCCAGGGATCAGAAGAATGACTAAAATAAAACAGAACACGCAGATGAGGAGACATAATTACACCACAGTCATGGGCTGAATGAAG